ATAGTTCAAGGCAAGGTAGGCAGCGTACAGCGTGCCCGTCATATGTTGGTACTGTACTGTACAGCAGGCCAAGAGAACCAGCGATCATCACCTTTAGGCTCTGCAGGTCCCACTTGCAGCCGACCTCCTTATCGTAGTCCTCCGCCTTCTTCTGGATCGCCACGTTCGTCAGGTGTACGTAAGGGTTAGCCAGCGCCGCCCTGTCGGTGCAGTACCTGCTGGCGCAACCACCGAAGCCCTTTCCGATTCAGCAAGTTTGATGTATCTATACTTTGCGCATGAGCCCTCCCCCCCCCCCCCCTCTCTCTGCCTAACACGTGGTAGCCCCTTAGCAGATAACATCGCATCGCGATAGTAGCAAACATGCAGGGTGCGATCCCCCTCACCTTGTGCCCGAGAAACGCGCGAACCCTCCGTTGTAGAGCCACACCGTGAGGGGGTTGAAGGAAGTCACCAGCACGTACAGCCTGAGGTCAAACTTCTTCCCGCCGATGAGGTACGGGTTTTCCACGTACCGCTGTGCGATGTATGCCTCCGCCTGGGGTTTCCGTTTTTGGATCAAAGAACAAAGAAAGATGCCAGAAAACAACAGAAAAAAAGAAACGACGTTATAACAAACCAGTTTCGCACGTGCGCGAAAAAAAGGGCAACGGTGTACCCGAGAGAAAAACAGCACGCGAGAGCCGACAATTTGTACTGACACAGCAGCACATGAACCCTTGCTTATCCCGGACCCGTGTTTGACGAATAACTTCTCTTGAGGGTACGGTAGCTCGAAAAGTCCGTGAAACTCCGGCACGGTACACAAGTTCCGGAACGAGGAGCTATTGGGCGAACCGACAGCTGGACTGGAAGGCACTCAGAACACAGTGTTGCTTGGGAGGGAGGCGGGCTATGTAGTGGGTTCTTGCTAGAATACCGCCCCTTTTGATCGCCACGCTTGTGCGTCGAGGCGTACATCGAGGTTCCACATGTCGTCAGCCCGCGTGGTGTTAGAGTCGACCCCCGGATTCTTTGGGGGTACAGGGGAAGATACAGCACAGGTAAAAGACGACAGACCAACGACTTGCCTACTAGCACAGCAACGACAATGCCTCTTGCGGCAGCAACAACGACAGCACCCCTACCCCGCCTATAAAACAACAGCAAAAGCAGTAGCAGCAGCAACAAGAGGAAAGCGATGTCAATGAAGACGGCCGGTCACCCGACACAACAACCACCACCACGAGTGCGATGACGGCGGCGACGGCCACGTCGGCAACTACAACACCAAAACGAGCTGCAGCAGCCAGAAGCGGCTAAATAGTTACCTGGGGTTGGTCCGCTTTCCATCGGTGGTCCTTCTTCCACTCGCTGATTTGACTCAGCTTGTTGAACAAGAAGATCCCCCTGTTCGAAGCAGCGAACAGGCCAGGTTGTAGCCGTTTCGCACGAGCAACCAACGTGAAGCGGAAACACGCGCCGAGTCAGGACATCATACGTTCGCTGCTGCTGCTGCTGTTCGTTCGTCTTTACTCCACCGAAGTCACATCATGTCCTTGCTACATGAAGGAGTCGATGTCATATCTTGCAAAACGTCAAACAGGATGGACATGAAATAGTCAACGTGATAGTGAGTCGGACGGACAAAACAACAACAAAAAAAGGACAACGTACGTATGTTCGACGAGTGCCCACGCAAAACAAAAGCGTACACCAACACGAGCACGGGCAGACCGCGCACGGCGTCGGCGTCGAGGGTGCCTGCCTTCCTCAATGCTTGTCGGCTGTACGGTGCCTCGCAGGCACTACTACAAGTCTATCGTGCCAACTGCAGCGACGTAGTCTCGTTGAAGACAGAAAGAACGCCAAGCTGGTCACCGCTTTCTCCGAAAGAAAAACCAAGCTGAGGCCAGTCTGCACGCTTTGATCCTTGCCTTCTTCTCTCAACTACATCCACAAGTTTCGAACGTCTGATCTACTACTGCGTGTCCACCGGGCACAGCGAGACAACAAAAAAAAACACGGAAAGTCGCCCGACGTCTAGGTTACCATTCTCTCGATGAACTACGCACGGACACGGTGGTGTTTGGGGGTGCTCGGCAGAGTACTGACCTACGGAGGTTACGTGGATCATGATACGTGAACGATGGGGGTTTCCGTGTGGGGGTCGTTTTGCCTCCCGCATCGGGCCCGTCACTCACTCTCCAAGGTCTGAGTCAGCCTTTTTTCTGTCCTCTGACGATGCTGCTCCCCCCAAAACATACAACCGATCGAAATCGCCTACCCACCTCCCCTGTGCCCGTCCGATGGGCTTCATGATCCACACCGCCCCCGGGGAACGCTTGAACTCCTCCACGAACATGCCGTACTCGGACGGGAGCACGAAAGTGCCGGTCCAGAAGCTGAAGGTACAAAGGGAAGCGGTGATCAACGCGGGTAAGGAGGCAAGCTGGTGCTAGGGTATGGCACACAATCATGGGGGGGGGGAAATTGTTGAAACCGCGGCGTCTCCGGCTGGACAGGTCAGCTGCGACCGTTGAAACGGCCCACGTCATGAAAAGCGACGCCAACGACAAGCAACGGTAGCGGCAACGACCCCCCCCCCCGCCCCCCGACAGTATCGCCAACCACGAGGGACAGTAGTGGCAACGGCAATACCACCACCACCACCACCACCAACAGTATATGACCGACGACAAGAAGCAGCGACAACGACAACGATAACGACAACGAAAAGCGCAAACAAAACCAACACCTACACCAGCACTGCAACAAAAGAAACCGACCAGTAGCTTGCTGCTTCCGCTTGGCAGTCGTTCCTCTCCAACTGCTTTCGCATTCGCTTCAGGTTCTTCACCATCAAGTCCTTTCGCGTCAACTCGTAGTGGTTGGGGAAGTGGTTGAGCCGCTGGTCGTCATCCATCTGGGAAATTTTCGGTGCACATATTCAGCAAGTCACAAAGTGTACGACCTATAGGTATAACGGCGGTGGTAGGCTTGTTGGGGGACGGGATACGTGAACGAAGAGGTACAATACCGGCCTCAATTTTTCGATGTTATTACCACAGACTTCGCGTAGGCAGAGGAAGAAAATCGGGCGCAAGTTGACGTGTCGAGAGCCAAGCTCACTCACCTACAAAGGCGAACCCTGCAGTGATGGGGGGGGGGGGGCACGCGAAGTGGATTCATTTTCAAGTTGTTTAGGGGGGTGGGGATTCCGAGCAACTTCTGCCCCTGGGCGCGGCCATAACCCAGATAGCACACACACACAATCTACTGCGCTAGCCTACTCTAGTATCTGGCCGTGTACGTCTCCAGCCCCCTAAGCCTAGACCTAGCCATGACCCGAGCTGTGCCTCGAGATCTGAAGCGGTTGCCTGCACTTGGCCGTACATATCTGTATCTGTACTCTCCAACCCTAGCCCTAACCGTGACCCTAGCGGCGTCCCGAGATCTGCAGCAGCGTGTACGTACCTGTATTTGGTCGTACATGTCTCTAACCCAGCCGACGTCCGCCCAGCACAGGTCCCAGTCGACATCGTCCTGGGTCTCGACCAACCCGGGCCTTGCCTTGAGCACCTCGTACACCGTGTTGCGGGTGGAGCACCTACCCGAGGGGGTTCCGGGAAATCACGCTGGTGTTAGGGGGGGAATGGAGTCGGCGGCGCAACAGCTGTAGCTTTTCGCTGCTTCTGAAAGGAGGCACCCTTAGTCGTGATTGCAAGACCACCCAGCAGGCACCAATACAAATGCCAAAAAATACGCCGAGCACGTCATGATATAGATGCGTGTAGCAGCTCAGGATTGGCTGTGTGTGTTCGTCCCGAGACTCGAACGAAACGAGGACGGTACCGAGAGAGAGTGAGACAGAGAGACCCGGCCCGCTTTTTTGTCAGGACCCTGCGCGACAAAAAAAGTGCAAGAGAGACACACCAAGCAACACAAACCCGAACCTATCCGATCACGATATCTTTTTGACGGGTGGGTTCGATTCTCCTGCGTGCACCATGCCGAAGAACGCAAGCGACGCTCGCGACGTATTTGCTTCTTCCGGCGGACCACTTCGTCGTGATGTAAAAAGCCGGTGATATTATTTTGCTACTCCAGACTTGCCACAGGATTTCTTGTCCAGCCCAGCGCGACATATTCGAGAGTATGACATGCCCAAGCGTTGGCGCGCATGGGCGTATGTGTGCAGACATGCACCGTAACTTCATGTCGCCAGCAGGCCGTGTGAATTGCACCAACACCAGATACCGTCGACCTCGGAAGTCGGCGGTACACAGATGCTGTAGTGCTGGGACGCAAGAGCGTGCTGTGTGCAGAAGTCTACTGCTGCACCATCGGTAATAAAGCACAGACACTTCAACCGGGCCGTTTACAGGCTTGGTATATAGGTGGCTCTACAGTCAAGCACATAATGCCTGAAATTCGGTCGGCAAAGCTCTTGCGCTTTGTCTTTCGCACAGCCAAAGAGGAGTGTGTGCTACAGCAAGCTGCAAGCTGCAGGCCAATAGGGCGACGAGTGTGGGAATCGCTTAGAGGCAGCCTGCGCGGTCGTTGCTTGGATATATGCTTTGTAGATGAGTTGGAGTGCTTAACGTGTGAGTATCAATGAGTGAATACGAAGGCTTTACAGTGCCGCCCCCACACGGCTACTGCCGGGCGTGACCGGTGTACAGCAGTAGTGCTAATGTAGATCTTGAGATGGATCCGCGGATTTCAAACACAGGATTACAACGTACGCAGCTGACAGTTCCGTGAGGTTTTATCCAATCCCTCACTCACCGAAAAACGATCGTCGGTCCCAGTACAGCAGCACCCTTGGCAGCCGCCATGACTCGCCGAGCGCCGAGACGGACGGACGCACTCGCAGTTCACAGATCGTCAAGACGCAGCTACTGCCCGCTGCTGCTCCAGCTGCCTTAGGTTGGACCGAAAAACCAACACGCCTCTGTGTACCGGTTGGAAAACCGGGGGGACACGCGAAGCGCAGCATTGCGTAGGGGTGTCGACCTCGCGCTCGGAGCAGAGGTCACAGGTCAGATCAGGACTCTGATTGCATGCCGCACGTCGTTCCTCTCGTGCCCAGTCTTACAACAACGCAGACACACACACAAGCAGCAGCAGTAGTTGACATCGATCGACACACATTATGTCCGCCCACTTCGACGGGGGTGCGGAGATCGCCGGACGGCGGCTCCGGGAAGTGGAGGTCTCGTACGTGGATGACCCGACGCTCGACATGGGTGCCGAGGACTCGGACGATTGCCCGGCCTCGCCGCCGCCGACCTACTACCTCCGCGTCCGCGAGGAGAACAAGAGGGGGACCACGGGGGGCGGCAACGGTGGGGATCGTGATGATGATGCCGAGGTGAAGTCAACTGCCTGCTCGCGGTTGTTTTGAGTCCTGCTGCGTATTCCGTAAGAAAAAATTCAAATACTATTCAGGCCGTTACACACCCCGCTCCCATGTTTTCAAACCTCACCGCTGGGTATCGTACTCTGTAGTCTACCTCTCTTGGCACCTTCTTTCTGTGAGGTAGAGTCTGCTTGTCTGCTCTCCAGCTCCTACTCCGGCGGGCATTTGATTCCAGCGCAGGTTACGTACTCCTGCTCACTCTGTTGTAGCCTGATTCAGGTTCGTTTGTCGGCCGACATCTATCTGCCAAACTTTGGGTCGCGTATACGACAGCAGCACGCAGCAGGAAACTTCCCCTCCGGGCCGAGATGGTTTCGGAGCGAATGCCAACATTTCAGGCATTTGGAAGAAGTCTCGCCTGCGTAGAAGTGGAGTACTGTATCCACAATGCATCTTTTAAGTTTCTCGTTATAAACAGCTATTGTTTCTTGGTCCACCTCACGACAGAGCAATGGTGGACGGGCGAAGCAGGAGCAGGGCGAAGGGGGGGCTAAGAGCGAAGACGACGCCGACAACGACGCAAACAACAACAACAACAACAACAACAACAACAACAACAACAGTTTAGACAGAGGGGCCAGGAAGAAGAAAAGAGCGAAGGACAAGGGTGGTAAGAAGGCGTGGTCTTGGCGGTACGTGAACGTGGAAAAGAAGAAGCTTCTGGTTTGGGACAGGCGGGGTGGGCGGCTGCTGAGGTCGATCTCTCTCAGGGATATCGAGTCCCTCCTGGTGATTCCGGACGAGGTGAGAAAATGAAGATAAGTAGGGTTAGCAGGAGTAGGTCAGAGAAAGAGGGGCGGGGGGGGCGGGGGGGAAGAGGAGCGTGTTAGCAGAGAGAGAGAGAGAGAGAGAGAGAGATATATGGTTGGACAATACGGAATTTTCAACACCCGGAGAACGTTTGAGATTAAAGTGGTAGTTCGAAGACCGAGGTTGGTTCGACACCCTGAATCGAGTTTGGCTTATCAAAGGGGAAGTTACGAGACGTGTGCGAGCGAGAAACCAGGATAGACAGGGGAGTACCGTATGTAGAGACAGACGAGGGGAGAGACAGACGAGGGGAGAGACAGACGAGGGGAGAGAAACATGGAGAGAACGA